GTGTTGGGTTGTGTTGGGCTGTGTTAGGACGTGTTGGGTTGTGTTGGGCTGTGTTGGGTCATGTTGGGCTGTGTTGGGTCGTGTTGGGCTGTGTTGGGTCATGTTGGGCTGTGTTGGGTTGTGCTGGGCTGTGTTAGGTTGTGTTGGGTTGTGTTGGGTTGTGTTAGGCTGTGTTAGGTTGTGTTGGGTTGGTTTGTGCTGGTTGGTGTTGGGTTGTGTAGGGTTGGGTCATGATGAGCTGCGTTGGGCTGTGTTGGGTAGTGTTTGGTTGTGTTGGGCTGTGTTAGATCATGTTGGGCTGTGTTGGGCTGTGTTAGGTCGTGTTCGGCTGTGTTAGGTTGTGCTGGGCTGTGTTGGTTTGTGTTGGGCTGTGTTGGGTTGTGTTGGGCTGTGTTAGGTCATGTTGGGCTGTGTTGGGCTGTGTTAGGTCGTGTTCGGCTGTGTTAGGTTGTGCTGGGCTGTGTTGGTTTGTGTTGGGCTGTGTTGGGTTGTGTTGGGCTGTGTTAGGTCATGTTGGGCTGTGTTGGGCTGTGTTAGGTCGTGTTCGGCTGTGTTAGGTTGTGCTGGGCTGTGTTGGTTTGTGTTGGGCTGTGTTGGGTTGTGTTGGGCTGTGTTAGGTCATGTTGGGCTGTGTTGGGCTGTGTTAGGTCGTGTTCGGCTGTGTTAGGTTGTGCTGGGCTGTGTTGGTTTGTGTTGGGCTGTGTTGGGTTGTGTTGGGCTGTGTTAGGTCATGTTGGGCTGTGTTGGGCTGTGTTAGGTCGTGTTCGGCTGTGTTAGGTTGTGCTGGGCTGTGTTGGTTTGTGTTGGGCTGTGTTGGGTTGTGTTGGGCTGTGTTAGGTCATGTTGGGCTGTGTTGGGCTGTGTTAGGTCGTGTTGGGCTGTGTTGGGTTGTGTTGGGTTGTGTTAGGCTGTGTTAGGTTGTGTTGGGTTGGTTTGTGCTGGTTGGTGTTGGGTTGTGTAGGGTTGGGTCATGATGAGCTGCGTTGGGCTGTGTTGGGTAGTGTTTGGTTGTGTTGGGTCATGTTGGGTTGTGTTGGGTTGTGTTGAGCTGTGTTGAGTTGTGCTGGGTTGTGTTGGGCTGTGTTAGATCATGTTGGGCTGTGTTGGGCTGTGTTAGGTCGTGTTCGGCTGTGTTAGGTTGTGCTGGGCTGTGTTGGTTTGTGTTGGGCTGTGTTGGTTTGTGTTGGGTTGTGTTAGGTCGTGTTAGGTCGTGTTGGGTTGTGTTGGGTGGTTTTGGGTTGTGTTGGGTTTTTTATGTTGGGTTGTGTTGGGCTGTGTTGGGCTGTGTTGGGTTGTGTTGGGTTGTGTTGGGTCGTGTTGGGTTGTGTTCTGTTGGGTCGGGCTGGGTTTGTGTTGTGTTGTGTTGGGTTGTGTTGGGCTGTGTTAAATCATGTTGGGTTGTGTTGGGCTGTGTTAAATCATGTTGGGTTGTGTTGGGCTGTGTTGGGCTGTGTTGGGTCGGGTTGGGTCGTGTTGGGTCGTGTTGGGTTGTGTTGGGTTGTGTTGGGTTGTGTTGGGTCGTGTTGGGCTGGGTTTGAGTTGTGTTGGGTTGTGTTGGGCTGTGTTGGGCTGTGTTGGGCTGTGTCGTGTTGTGCTATGACAGGTCCCCTTGCAGACACTGAGCAGTATATTCATCTGATCGGAATGTTCCTCCATCACAGGCGGCTGTATGAAGTGTGTTTCCTCTCTGCAGACTGGTGCGGAATTTGTCATATGAGGAAGTATTGTGTGGTCAGCGGGAGGAGGTGATAAGAGCCGTCCGCTGTCACTTCATACTGACACTTCTACAGAGAGCCGGAGGATGATGATGACCCCACTCAGCTGGATCCTCTTCTCTCTGGGTGAGTGTGAACCCCCTGATATAAAGACACAGATACCGAGATCAGAAATACAACCAGAACTGCCCAGACTAACCTCAGAGGGCTCAGTATCACTTCTCTACATTCTGCCCATCAGATCTCAGTACTTGTTCATTATTGCCGAGGAAAACTTCTCACCCCGAACACAGAATTCATTATACGGCCAAATCCCCAACAATCTCCATGTTCTCGGTATCTGTTCCTATTCTGTATGTATGGACTCTGCACAGTACCACTTCTCTTGTCCTGTATGCTGGGTGTCATTCTCGGTATCTGCCTGCATGCTGGGTGTAATTCTCCGTATCTGCCCTGCATGCTGGGTGTAACTCTCGGTATCTGTTCTGTACACTGGGTGTCATTCTCAGTATCTGTTCTGTATGTCGGGTGTCATTCTCAGTATCTGTTCTTATTCTGGATGTAATTCTCGGTATCTGTTCTTATTCTGGATGTAATTCTCGGTATCTGTCATGTACTCTGGGTGTAATGCTCGGTATCTGTCCTGCACGCTAGGTGTAATTCTCGGTATCTGTTCCGCACTCTGGGTGTAATGCTCGGTACTTGTCCTGTACGCAGAGGGTGTAATTCTCGGTATCTGTCCTGTACGCTGGGTGTAATTCTCAGTATCAGTCCCGTACGCAGAGGGTGTAATTCTCGGTATCTGTCCTGTACACTGGGTGTAATTCTCGGTATCTGTCCTGTACGCAGAGGGTGTAATTCTCGGTATCTGTCCTGTACGCAGAGGGTGTAATTCTCGGTATCTGTCCTGTACGCAGAGGGTGTAATTCTCGGTATCTGTCCTGTACGCAGAGGGTGTAATTCTCTGTCTGTGTTCTGCAC